GGTTTGTATCCCAGTAAATAGTTGTGGTCGTAAAGGACCGGGTGATTTGCTACCGTAATTTCTCGTTTGGAATATGAGGAAATGAACTGCGGTCTGGCTCTCCCAGCTTGCACGCGGTTTGATTGGCTAGCGCTTGAACTGTCAGATTTGCATAAACGGGATTTGATTGGCTGACGCTGGCTACTCCGGCGTCTCCGGCTTCAGAAGTTGAACATTGTTCAACTTTTGCAGCCTGAAACGCCAGGAAAGCTCCGCTCTGCTACTCACAATTCGGTTCGGCGAAAAGCGAGGCAACGTGACGTCACCCCATTCAAAGTGAATGGGCAGACGCGTTGGAAACCGTTTTTGAAGCTGTCGAAGCTGTAGTGTGGACGGGCCGTAATACTTCAACTTCTCATAAAAAAGGAGGAATAAAGCACTGCTGGTCAGACGTTACCATTGTTCGGCAGTTGGATTTGTTTGCAGGACACCATCTTTGCATCCGACACCTGCCTGACAAACCAACATCCTGTCTTTGTATTTACATAATCTGTTATACGGTATGTTTGTATTGTGTGCTTGTGTTTGTGACTGGGTGGGCTGTGTGTGGTAAAGCAGTCATCATGGAAGCCCAATAAACCATTTACAAAGGTGTGGAATAAGCCACTGAGCGGCGGATGTGCGAGATGGGTAGCATACAGATGGTCCTGCCTTTCAACCAAGCTCACTCTGTCTTCTTGTCGTTCTAATTTACATGTGCTATTATGTAAATCTCAATGTTATACCTTTATTGGAAGTAAAATAGATGAATTATTAGAGCCTTTTTATGCAGGAGGCAATCAACTTGTGTCATGTTCACAGTTTCCACATGTGTGCTCCTCATCCAGGTGTGACTTCACACAATTACAATTTGAGTTCAGTGTGAATGAAATGCAATCTTGTATTTCATGGGCCAAAAATAAACAAACTTTCTGCTCCTTTGATTGGCTCACTCACTTAAACTGACATGCATGATGTTATTCTAACCTTTTGAGAACCTTACAGGGTCATTTTTTTTACTAGAGCTTCTTATAAAACGGTATCAAATCATGAGGTGGCAAATCAAACTTTCACATAGACATAGAAATTGCAGGATCCATTGCGTTAACATTGCATGTGTAAAGTGGAATAGTGAGAGAGAGAGAGACAGAATGAGTGACAGTCTTAACCACCTCCCTCATTTCCTGGCCTTGAGCGCCAAATTAGATTGGAGGGAACACAATTGGGGTAATTTGTGTTTTTCCTAAAATTCACAAGGCAATTTCCTCTGCTGGAAAACCCACATTGACAAAGACATTTTCTCCTCAACTCTGCAAAACAACCATTCATCCACAGATCTCGAGGGTGCTTGTTTTGAGCCCTGAAATCTTCCCTGAAAAATTAGACAAGGGACAAGGGAGATGGATTTAATTATCTATAACAAATAGCATATTCTGCTAAAATGCTGGCTCTTGTGGCCAGAATTATTTAGTGGTTAAGATCTGATCTCTGTTTGCCCACGGATTTCTGTCCTACTCCAAAACGCCAGGTCCAACTCATCTATTAATACTTCTTTCTTCCTCTCTTTTCACTTGCTCATACCTCATTCCATGTTGAACACAGGAACCAACTGTTCTCTGTGAACCCAAACACATGCGCACATGCACACACAAATACCAGATATTGTAAATCAGGGCTATGAGTCTATTAAAGTGAACCAAGAGTGATATGCGCAAGTGCGTTTGAAAGAATTGGAAGAATACATTGATATGTTTTTCAGGCCTGACAGTGAGCCGCCGCTGAGCTCACAGCTCTACAAACAGATACAAGGTCACAGTGTCTCCTGTGTGTGTGTGTGTGTGTGTGTGTGTGTGTGTGTGTGTGTGTGTGTGTGTGTGTGTGTGTGTGTGTGTGATATGTGCTGAATAGCTTCACATAAATGTTCTTGTAGGCTTTGGTTGGATTAAAATTGAATCTAATAAATGTATGATCTTTCCTTGATTAAAACAAGACCAATTGCATAACTGTTAGCAGACAGTTGTAGGTGAACTTGGTAAGACTGGAAGCAGGGGGGAAGTGTTCAACTATTCCTTTAAGTATGCAGACTCAAAGTCCATATCCTGTGTGTGAGACCTTCTCTCTTTCCGTGCTATCTGAGACCTGTCTGTCTAGGCAGTGCAACATTCCATCCCAGATAAGGCACCTGACTCCCGACCGCTCATATAGTTCAGCCTCAGGTCAGTGCCAGGCTGTTCCTGTCATTCAAATTGGAAGAGAAAAACTCAGCAAGTGGTGGGAGGCTTTATACGAGTTTGTGTAGTGGTGGTAAAAGAAGTGGGGGAGGGTTTTAGTGGAATAAAAAAGAAAAGGCGGAGAATGACAAAGGGAGGGAGGAGAGATGAGGAGCATGAAGTGGGTTTAGACAAGACAATGGATCTCCAAGTGACATTCGAGCTTCTCTCTGTTAGAAGACCAGAATATGGATTTGTGGGAAAAGATTCAGTAGAGGAATCTCTTTTTTTCTCCTAAAGACTGCAGCAGATTTGAGGCTAAAAGCCTTGTTACTCACGCCATTATGTCATAGCTTTGCCCAAAATATCTAACCACTTTAATACCCAAACTTCAAGCATTACGTCAGTCTAAGTCTTTGAGTTATGTTAAATATAGTACACACAACACACTTTTAAAGTAATATCGATGAATACACTTTTAACAGCTAAAAGGGCTCTTGCAAAAAATACCAAAATCTGCATTTGAGTAATTAGCAGTTTAGCAGAGGTTCTGGTATTATATAGGGAATCTCTAGACTGAGCAAAGCTGGCTATTTTCCCCAGCTTTGAGTAAGTATCTCCGAAAGCTAAGTTAACCTGCTGCTGGCTTTAACTTCATATCAAAGACATGAGAGCAGTATCCATCTGCTCATCTAACTCTATGAAAGACATTTTGAACAAAAAGTAGATTTATATGTGTTCACATATTTGGCAGACACTGTCCAAACCATCAAATTAAACATAGTTATATGTCAGACCAAAAATATTCCACATCCATTGACCACATTGTTTTTTTCCAGTAGCCCTCAGTAAGCATTCATTTCAATTGATTGGATTTATAAACCACAACGTGGTCCTTTACCTCTTTGTAGCCATCATTGAGGATGAGGCTTGACGTTCGCCTGATGACATCATCCACTCCACCAAATCCATCCATATTATCCAGCGCCTCCCTCATCTTCCCTCCCTCCTTGTCTTCCTGTCTTTTCCTCTCTACCCCCTAGTCAGTAAGTTAGTCCAGACCAGCTCTTGGTGTATCCCAGTCAGTATGCATCATATTCTCAGCCAACACTCCCCTGCCATGGTCTGACAACACAACATTTGAAAGGAAACTCTACTCCTCTCCTGGTGCCTTCTCCTTGTCTTTCTCTTACATGTTGTGACACCGTTCCTCTCCCACTCCTCAGCACTTCCTGACTATTCCACTCTCTCCTCAGCACTTCCCACAGGATTGTGAAAGCACAATGGTCAGAGGTAAGGCCCCTTTAGACCCTCCCTACCTTCCACCCTCTGGTCAGGGCGGCCTCTCACAGCCAGAGTGAGCAACAGAGAGGGAGAGGGTGAAACTCACACTGGTGTTTTTTTTCCCGTTTTAACGCCCTGACGTGAGGACAGCAGCTGTTCACAACCAGTTTGGAAAGAAACACCTCAGCCATGGGATAGCCACAAATGTGTTAGTGTGTGTGTTTGGGGCAATGTACTTGTGTTGAGCCTGCCCATGTGTGTGTGTTTAGATGACTATTGGTGTGTCTGGAGCCTCTTCTGGACACTATCTCTCTCTGTCTGTCTATATTTATTCTCCCTCTGTTACACCAAGGACTCTTCTTAGATGTTTTTGTCTTTTAAGCTTCCTAACCCTCTTATCTGCAATGGCTTACAATTCTGTGTATGTTTTTCAAAAGAGAGATTAACTTTAAATGTAGATTAGCCTACATATTTTAGGCGAAATGAAATGTGAAAATGTGTGTGTTTATCTAACAGAGGAGGTAGTGTGGTTCTTTCCTACTAAGGTAAAAATAGGGCCCTGTCTGGACTCAAAATCCAGCAGCCCCGGCCAGCTAAATAAACCCTGACAGAGCACAATGGACCATTAGCCTGGCTCACAAACACTTATACACACAAAGCCACTCACTGAGATACACAGAGATTGCTTGTGCCTTGTATCAGTGACTTACATTTTCAATCTGAGCTCTCTACGGTGTGTAATGATCTCATCTTAGCGAGACGTTATCGACCCGTGACTCATATATTTGTCATAGCCGCCCAGACAGAAAAATGATGTCCACATATGGCAGCAGAATCACACAGCAGGGGAACATGAGTTCACACAAACCATCAACTGGTTACACACAAAAATGTGAAAACAATTTCAATGTTCAAATGGAAATGAACTCATAATTCAAATGCACCAAAAGAGGGGATAGCATTACTGTGGGTTGCAACTACTGATGATTTCTCTTGATTGATAAGCTAACTGTATTTTATTCAGGCTTTTACTATGCAGCCAGCTTGTATATCTTCCTTTAAAGTGCAGAATTCATTATGCATTGCAGTGGTTGTGCCATTATTTAAGTAATAAAGTCAGGTATTTTATTGATTTATGTGTAGTTATCTTCAGTTAAAGGCTAGCTTGCTGCATGGCTGGGATGAAAAATGCAAGTAATTGGAAACCTACCATTATTTCAATGAAACAGTAGCTTAGCATTTAACCTCAACTATAAATATACTGTACATGAATTCTTCTTAAAAGTTTTTTGTAAGCTTCAGTCATCCACCTAAAGCACGAGTCAGAGGATGAAGCATTCTGAGATGATCTAACGGGATGACAGTGATGATGACAAATAAGAGATGAAATAGAAAGTCAAGGACAACAGGGTTACAAAAAGAGTGGATAAGACAAAGACAAGAGGCAAGAGAACTCCAATGAATACTGATGCACATGAGTCACATTCATTTGTTACTCTGCCAAGAGAGAGGAGACGAAAATAAGGGAGAAATTCAGAGATAAAGTCAGTGGGGAAATAATGCATTTGCATGATAACATCAAAGATCATCTAAACAGAAGCACACACACGCGCACACACAGAACACACACATACAAAACACACACAAAACACACACAGGGGTTAAATGGAAAAACAGGAAGTGGGTTTGATTCAGTGCTGATCCCTAAGGATTATGGGTAGAGTAGAGCGAATTGTCTGGCTGTTTCCTGAATCCACTCTCCCTGGACTACTGCTGGACACACGCATGCAAGCACGCGCACACACGCGCACACACACAGACGCACTCACGCACAAACACACACACATAAAACACTGAAGGGTGGGGTCTGCCCCTTTGATTCTCATTACTGAGGCTGACTTCATCGTGTAGGTGAAGTCAGAGCTGAATCAAATGGGATAGGAGGATGAAAGGGAAGGGTGATCGATGGGCAATGGCAAAGGGACTCTACATACACATACACACTCTTAGTTCAAGGGCAAAGACTGGGGATACTTTCAGGTGCATATTTGAGACACACACAAAGGTTAATTCTTCTGATGCTTGACTGCCGGGTCAGCTGAGAAACAGCGAGACAGAGAGAAACAGCGAGAAAAAGAGAGAGACATACATGCACAGAATGGCTTATTGTTCCAAGTGAACAGAGGGTGACTGTGGGAGAGAGGGTTCCTGGCACCTCCTGTAAGCCCGCGATCCAAGGCCAATGGCACTGTATGTCTGTGTGTGTGTGTGTGTGTGTGTGTGTGTGTGTGTGTGTGTGTGTGTGTGTGTGTGTGTGTGTGTGTGTGTGTGTGTGTGTGTGTGTGTGGTACGAAGACACCTAAACCTGTAATACACTCGCTCTTTATATCAGCCCCAATCCCTGTTTGCTTTCAGGTGTCTGTATCTGTAATGTCTATGGTTATACAGTATTATAACACCAGATCAAGGAACTGTGCTAAAGACTCACAAGATCTTATTTTGGAAAGAGGAGGAAAAGAACGGGGGCTGCTGCCATAGCAACGTGGTAAGAATTTCTCCATGGCGATGCTGTGTGTTCCAAACAAATTGGGCTGCAAAAGGGAGCATGAGGCCACCCATCAGGAAGTCTGCTCACTAACACAGAGCCCGGAGTTTGAGGGCTGAAGATTTGGCAAATTGTATAATATTAGATTAAAAAGTATGCTGCCCAGCAAATCTCTGATATATGGGATAATCATACCTCACTGCACAGTCTCATATATTCTCATAAGTTTGTCTGATTCATTACAGTATGACTAGTTTTTTTTTTATGACCAGGTTTTGTTTGGGGAGTTTTTTTATGTCTGTTTTATTATTTCAGAGCTGGACAAGGGACATGTTAAACACGGCTTAACATAATGACTAGAGACCATGGATGTATTTTTGGAAATAGTTATAGGAGTCTAGGATGGTGCTTTTTCAGTCCAATAATTGTTTTCATAGCTTACGAGTTAATATCCTTCTCATGCAACTAACAATTAACCTGACCTTGTTTGCAGTTTGAGGTGTCCTGTCATCAGATGTCTCTTTCATGATGGTGTATTATGGGAAACATGTCAGTGTGAATCTGTACAGAGTAAAAAATATGTATTTGTAATGACACTGTCAGAAGGAGTTTACATGCTAAAACGACTTCCTGGCAAACTAAACTCATTTGTTATTGTCCGTATTTCCATACTATATGTTTACTGTCTCGCCTTATTGATCCATTCTGTAACGCTACCACGATCCATCAGTGGTATCTACTCATCTGCTGGTCCCCATTTATAATTCATCGGGCCACACCTCATTTACTGTGTCACAGACACCAGAGCTCTCCTTCACTCCTCTCTAGCCAAGCATTACAAACTGCTCACAGTTGTTGAGGATAAATTGAAAATACACATACACAAAAATACTTTGTTTGACAATGTTCAGCGTTCAATCAGAGCTGTGAGGCCTTGGCATGCTCACAGTCTTCCTACGGGCCAACCCGATAAATCTCCCCATCACCCTTCATCCTGCTGATAGTGCTGCTGACAGCAATACGCCGCTGCAAGATTTATAAATTTACATGAGAATCTGAAAACAGGATGACATATTGAGACCTCAGACTGTAGAAAACACACTGCATGCGTTTAGCTAGCTTAAGATCCCTAAGATCTTAAATGAACTGCAGCATCAGGATGTAGAGGACAGCGATCATAAAATGTTCTCTTTTTGGCCTCATGCTTTATTTGTTTATTTATCCGACATGGCTTCAATTTATAGATGGTTTTGGTTGACAATGGGTCAAATGGATGCTTTATTGGTTCTCCCAGGGTCGGCCTGTGACTTAATTAACTAATGGCTTCTGACACTAAGTGAGAGCTCACCTTAAACATGATGGGGTAGGGAAAGACATTCAATATCTCATGTTTCTTTTTCTTGGCCTGTTTTGACTGTTCGCTTTCCTTCAGCCAAAGACAGAAAGACCAGGACCACATCCTAATTAAAGCAGAGGAAAACAATGATACTAAAAAACAGAGATCGCCTCAAGACATGGACTGTCCCACAAGACAAACAGAAATAGAGGGAAACACCCAGCATGCCGCACTCTTTTTCCACTTTGTCTGTTTACTCCCTTCCCATATTAACCCTTAATTAAATCCCTTGTTTCATCTCCTCTATGATTCATCTGTTCTTTCCCCCCATCTCGCTTTGCCTCTTTCCATCCCTCCATGTGTGTGTGTGTGTTTTATGTGTACGAGGGGCGCTGGCTGCCTGCTGGTTGCCAGGTTACCAGTCTAATTGAGGGGCCTCTAGAGAGTCGCTGCTATCAGAGCCTGAACCCTCTGTTCTGCTTACCACTCTCATTCATTCTTATTCGTTACATCTTCCTGTTTCTGGTACACCTCTTGCATTAAAGCCACCTCGGCTTAGTTCACTTTCTTTACATCTGTCGACAATAAACTTCTTCTTATATTTAACTGATATCAATAATGTTTTCCATCATTGCTATGCATGATCTCATTTCCCTCAGAAGTATGTATATGGCGTTCTTCTTCTTTCGTTCTTTTACCTCAGCCTGTGTTGCCAATACTTATTTTGATGATGTTTCATCTCTGCCTTTCATCTGCTGTCTCCACTAGCCCTGTGGCGTCACTTTTCTTTGCTTATCTGCTGCTCTGCTATTCTTTCCTGCAATCCTTCTGTCACTCCATCTAGCTTTTATCTTCTACGAAACAAGGCAGCAAATCCTTATCCCATAACACAACTGTTCCCTTACCCACACAAGCACCCATCTATCCTCCTGACATGTAGAAGTTCATTTTTTTTGGGAATGATTTGAGTGTTTTTGAGGTTTTATTACAGCAGAAACTAGAAACTTGAGGGCAATTCATTTCAAACCTAATCTCCAGTATTGGGGGCATCAGACAGAGCTGACAAGAAATCTCCTTTTATAAATGTTTATGAAGCC